CAGCAGAGATGTGCCCTGGGAGCCGTGGGCACGGCCAGTGGCCCCTGGCTGGGGGGGCCAGTGAGGGGCTAGTGAGAAACCACCTCCTCGGGGGGAACCGGCTGTGCTTGGCAGTCCTGGCCACTGCATTTGTTACCGTCCGCTCCCTCTGAACTTCACCTCCAGCCGGACCCCGCCGAGCCGCGCCAGCCCGCCCGCCCAGGGGGATGAGGAGATGGAGGGGGACGTGCTCCAGGGCCAAGCCCTGTCCGGGCACCTCAGGGAAAGGTCCAGGGTTTTCATGCCAAGATCCATCCAATTTCTTCTGTGTCAGAGCAGGCCAGAGCTTTTCAGGCTGCTCTTTCTCGGCACCTGCCTCTCTTTGTACTTTCCACCTTCCTCGGGCCCAAGCCCCGTCCCACCAGCTCGCCCCACGCTGCAGCTGGCTGCCGGCACACACGTGCTGCTGCATAACAATAATTACTATTAATGAAGCGTGCGCGCGCTGGCAGGTGTCAGAAGGAGCAGCTCCGACTCTGCCATCTGGAAGCACGCAGCTAGACAATGTGCTGGCACGTGTCCTGCGGCTGGCGCGCACCGAGGAGCACCCACCACCGTGCCCCGAGGGGGAGCACTGCACTGCCTTGGTCTCCCCCTCGGCTGTTTGATTCACCAAATGCAGCAGCATCCCACAGATTCTCTAAATTCTTACTTCTGTGAATTCAAGCAATTTGTTTAATTTCAGGATCTCTGTCCTGGCTTGCTCTGTTTCAAATCAACTTTTACAGAAGACAAGGCATCTCGCCCTCCGGTCTGTCTCCATTTTCATCCTCGTCTGGTCGTTCCGCACATTGTGAAATGGCCCGAAAGTCCCTCTAGCAGAGGGCGAAGGCTGCTGGGGCAGAGGATGGCGGGAGCTCCCCCAGGCAGCTCTGCCTGGCAGCCGCTCCATGCGAGACTGAACGTTTGCAGTGTTACTGGTGTAAAATACCACAGTGACAGAGACCTTAGAAATGGGATGGGGATGGGATTACATTCGTATGTGTGGATGGAATAGAGCAAATGGAATATATATAGACAGAGTGAATAAAGTAAATCTGTCAGGCAGACAGCAGAGGGGGAGCTTGTGAGCAGCTCTGAATAAGAAACAAAATTCAGCTCTGATCTAATTGAGGAAAATCCAGGAATAGAAATAGGTGGAAAATGTCAAACATTTGTCACACTTTAATTTACCGTGTATCAGTAGTTATACTCAGAGAGCAAGAGAACCACAGCACCGGCTTGGTGGCACACACAGTGCTACGCGCCGTGCTCCTCCTGCCGCCGCCTGTGACGGGGATTCTTCCCCGCTCCCCACCTCGGCTGCCCGATGGACGGTGGCAGCTCCCAGCGAGACGGTTGAGCAGGATGAATCATCCTCTTATCAGATGTTGATAAATGAAAAGAGCTGTATTCTTTTTAACTCTATTCTGCATCTAAGAAGAAAAATATTTCAAAGCTCGGCTGATGTCACACCGTCCAGTGCATCAAAGGGCAAGAGACGGAACGGGAAAGGAGCAGGACCTTGAGGGGAACCGCAGCAGCCCTCGATATCCAGGGCTCCTCTGCCTCCTGCGGCCTCGTGCTGCACTGGCAGAGGAGGACAGCCGCACTCCATGCTATGCTTTGATGCCACACTGCTTAAAATCACTTTGCAAAGCCCAATCTTTGTTGCAAATTCCAGTTTGGAGGTATCCTCTGAACATAGCTGTTTCAAACCAAAAGCTCTTTCCTGGCTTTAAAAGGCATCCTGGGCGATTACAAAAATAGCACAGCCCATTTGTCCTTCATGTCTGCTCAATAAAAGCCATTCCAGACCTGTTTCACCTTTTATGCTGCAGCATCTCCTGCTTCCCTGTTTCTAACTGGTATTCAAAGTACTGGACCCTGATAGTTCCTTTCTCTCGCTGTTTGATTTATTTTTTTAAAAAACCTTGTGTATTTGAACACACTCCCTAGAGTGAGTCCTTTGAAAAGTAATCCATATAAAAGCAAAGCACTTTTTAAATGGCAGAACAAAACACACATAAAAGTTCATAAATAGCTTGCTATTTAAATCTCATAAAAGCAGCCTAGTTAATTACTTCAGTTTGAATGTTTCCTGTAAATTGTGCACTGTACCCAAGGTCAGCCATAAAGGGAGAGGGGGGTTCTGCGAATGCTACAAACCCCGCCCTGATTTCCCTGCATGCAAGATGTCTGGATGATTTGCCTCAAAACCAGTTGGCTTTAATTGCATAGCTGTTGCAGTTTTGACAGTGAAACCTTATATAAATCTATGTATGCAAATAATGTACATTTGTAATCCGGGTCCTTTCTCTCTCTTGTTTCTTCCTCCCTCCTTCTCCTTCCCCGTCTCCCACCCCAGGCTCCGAGCTGATGCCCAAGGCACTGTCTACACGGATCATTGGTGGCATATGGTGGTTCTTCACCCTAATTATCATCTCGTCCTACACGGCCAACCTTGCCGCCTTCCTGACGGTGGAGAGGATGGAATCCCCCATCGACTCGGCAGATGACTTGGCAAAGCAGACAAAAATAGAGTACGGAGCAGTGAAGGATGGAGCTACAATGACCTTCTTCAAGGTGAGACCAGGCAGAGGCTTTCTACCTTCCAGGCAGAGATGCAACGCTCTCAGGCCAACGGGAGCGAGAACAAAGAACCAAAGACAAAAAGCCTCCTAAGCCACCGCTGCGGGTCCTTATAAGCAGGTTCTTTCAGTCTCACATCCTTGTCAAGACTCTGACAGTTTAGCTTACCGAGATTCACGTCATGGCCCTGTGGCTAACTTAAGTCACGATTACGAATTATATTGATTTTACAGCTTCGGAGCCTGTACCCACTATTGGCTCAGACCCCCCAATACAAAGCGTGTATCAGGTACAACAGGACAGGTGCACCTTATGTTAAAGCCCTACAGAAAAATATTACATCCTCTAAAGTATCTTCCCTTCCATCTCGCCCACTGCAGCTCCCTCCTTGTCTCTGTGAGAACAGCTCCGCAGAGCCCTCAGGGCTGACCCGGTCACCCCTCAGGGCCAGAGGAGAGAACAAATCAAACCTAAAGCTGGGCAGATGTTGCAAAGTGCCCTCCCTGACCGGGTTTTTTTACAGCTCAAATATCTTTCTTGTCCTTCAGGTATTCACATTAATGTAGTCAAATTTTATTAACCTCTGAAACCCAGCACAAGGTAACACCACCAATGTATCAGAATCAAATTACATTAATTTCTTCTCTTTAAAGCGTAATTAATTTCAGAAGTTAGCCAACACTGCAGAGGAGGGTGCTAAGAGCATTCATATTTCACTATTGCCTCAAAAATAGAAACTGAAAGACCTAAAGAGCCCTTTAAAACCACAGCTGGCCTGTAAAAACACAATAAAAAAAAAAAAAAAGAGAGAATAAAGGAATAGAAATGAGGGGTGATTAATCTAAGGAATGATCACCCTGGCTTAGAGAAGAATTTAAATTCAAGATGAACTCAAAAAGCAGTTGTTAGGGTCAGATCTGGCGTTTCCACTGCAGGCAGTGCCGGGCTGTGGCCATGCTGCTTGGGGAGCGGAGCTCAGGGCTCGGGGAGCAGCACCCAGAACTCGGGGAGCAGCGCTCAGAGCTTGGGGAGCGGAGCTCAGGGCTCGGGGAGCAGCGCTCAGAACTCGGGGAGCAGCGCTCAGGGCTCGGGGAGCAGAGCTCAGGGCTCGGGGAGCAGAGCTCAAGGCTTGGGGAGCGGAGCTCAGGGCTCGGGGAGCAGCCCCGCAGCACTCAGCCGACACCGACACCCTAGGGGCGCTGGGGAACTGTCCTTGCCCCTAATGCAGGAGGAAATCCACGGGCCAAAGCGGGACACACACAGTCCACGCTTTAAAAAGCAGGTTGGGCCTGGAATGCTGCAATAATTTGAATAGGCACAGTGCAAAGGCAGCTAGACGAGGCCGTCAGCAGTTTAATTGCCAAGCCTCATTACAGGAAGCCAATGTGCTGAATTTTAATAACAAGGAGCAGCAGCATTCTCCTGCAACTCTTCTTGGCTATGACTTGGTTAAGGAGCCACTAGACTTTTGGAGCAGGCACGCTTACTTAGGCAGCAATACAGATTGGTAAAGAATCACCGAGGATCTGGTTTGGTTTGATCTTTAGTTAACTCTGGGAAATGAAAGCGCTGCCCAGCAGAGCAGGCTGCTGACGGTGAGTTTGCTCTCTGCGGTGGAGCTGGTGCAGGCAGTTTAGTCTTTGGCATGGCCAGATGCGTCACGCTACCTTCCAAAAGCAATACAGGCCTAGAACTGCTATCAGGGAAAGGCAGGCTTTTACTGTTGTGTTTTAACTACTCTTTCCAATAAGAGTTTTATATGGGAATAAAAGGAAACTGTCTTTTTTTTAAAATCATCAAGGACACAGTATATTTATTGCTTCATATCGTTATCCACCAGAATCATTCTTTGGGCTTCTAACGGGCATTTGGCAGGGTTTATTGATGCAGTGTATTTTCCTTTTTCTTTTTATTATTATTGCTGTTTGGAGATGAATTCTCCAGGCTGTCCCTTCTGACAAGTGTTTCGATTACTGGAGCGGTGAGAGCGTTCGTGTGGGATGCTGTGCTCACTTGTCCCTGTGCACAGGGAAATACGGGAGAGCCAGAATTTCTCCCACCCCTCGGCGAGGTCTTTGTCAAACGACGGGGCAAATCCCGGCGTGGTTTCGGTCCGGCCGGGGCCCTGCCCTCCCTCCCCGTGGGTGGGACCGCAGGGGCGAAGTGCCCAAGGCTTCACCCCACCTTCCTCCGCGCTGCTCAAGGGGGGGCTCACGCAGAGCCAGCCCCCGGGCTGTACGCTCCGTGCCACCGCTGCTCCTGAAAAGCTCCTGCAGATCTGGAGGGGAAGCCCTCTGCAGTTTGCCGAGTGGGAGGAAAGGCTGACGGCAGCGTCCGAACGAGGACCTCGCCTATTCTGGGGATTAGCCACTAAGACTTAGCCCAGGTTGATGCCTTGCTCCCTGCATGACTGTTCCCCATAGTAGTTCCCCTCATATTAGGAACTCGCTCCTCCGCTTCTCCGTGTTAAAGAAGCTGCAAACCTCACAGATGGACCCCCCCAAGCTGCGGCCTGGGCCCTGCGGCCCCGTGGGCCGTGGCCAGCGCTGGCCCTCACCCAGGCGGCCTGACCGGGCGGGATGCAGGGCTGCAGGAGAGCGCGATCCCAGAGCTGGGGAACGGGGGGAAGAGGAAGGCAAACGCCTTGCACGCTGTTCCCTGAGGTGGTTCCCAAAGCACTAACCAGTTTTCTGCCCATGGTCATGCCCAAGGGTTCATGCAGAGCAAGTTCCCGACTGAACCAAGCCAAACCACATCTCGGGGGCAGACCCACAGCGAGCGATCTTGCTCCCACAAAGGTTTTTGCCTGTGCAGCTGAGCTACAGCCTGTGAGCTGACCAGCTACAGCAAAGGGGAAGCAGAAGAGCGAGCGTTACCAGCCGTTCTGGCAGATTTTGACTTAATGAAAAGGACTTTTGAGAAGCTATTTATTCCCTGGCAATGCAGATTGAGTTACAGGAATAAACACAGATCAATTAATTTAGGAACAGCATCTAGTGTTCATTATAAATCACGCCAGAAATCCTTCCTATCTTGCAAAGGATGCTGTCTGTCTGAACAAACGCCGGGTTTAATGTGCAGTTTGGAGTACAAGTGTGAGAGTGTGTGTACATATATATTCGCTTGTACAGAGATGTTAAATCCTCAAGAGTAAGTATCTTCAGTCGGTGAAAATCAATTTATTTTGTCATACAGGCTGGAATTGAAAATCTTAAGCCTGAAAGTTACTTTCTTGCCCATTTCACTGATAAAAAAAGCTTGTATGTCTTGGCAAGATGCCTTGTAGTGGCTCCTCTAAACTATTCCATTAATTTATTTGGGTGACCGGTCTTGAAGCATTGGTTATTAAAGGGAGCTTCTGAGCTGTGACTCTAAAGAATAAATTTAGAGGCGTTCTCAGCGTCGTTGCAATTGCTGCATTCAGAGGGGCTGGTACTCAGCTTTTCATACCTGCATCTCATTTAGCACTAACGCAGGGTTTTATTAAGATGCAGAGGACAGCGGAGCAGAGACACGATCCCCCTGGTGTGAACCATGGCCGCGCTGATCAGCAGCATTAAACTACTGCCTTTGTTTATTAGCAATAATCTCCATCATTCCTGACGTTCCGGAGTTTCCGACTCTGGAACTTCTCTGCCAGGAAGAAGTCAGTGTCAGGCCATTTATCTTAATGCTTCGGAGCAACCAGGCAGTTCCTCTTCATCTACCCACGGCAGCAAAGCAAAAGTCATCGCTGAGGGGGCCCTGGGACGCTACAGAGGATGCAGGGGCACAGGATGGTCTCTCTGCCTACACCAACTCAGGTTTTTGGTTTTTTTTTTTAATGCAGCCCATAAAAGTAAATGGTGATTCCACAGAGAAGGGATTTGCACAGCACAGCAAACCAGTAACGAACCCCAGTAAGGGTTTTTTAAGGTAAACTAATTAAGCTGTAAAATTAAGAGGTACAGCAAAATAAAACGTACAGACATACACACACCAACAAAAAAAAAAAAAAAAAGAATAAACACAATTTATATTCCTTCTTTATGGAATGTTAAATTACTCCTAAGATGTTTTTGCTCATTTGTATGCTGTGTTCTCAGGAGACATCACCCAAACGCCCCTAAATAAACGATCACCTTTGCAGTACGGCTGAAGTATTCTGAGAGGAGCAGGGGGAGGAAGGAACAACTTTTCTCCTAATAGGAGCAAATGTATAGTGGTTGGATTGGGTGCGAGCTGGGGCGCTGTACACTCCGCACCACGGCTACTCCGGCAATTTCTGATTGATGACTACTCTCACAATGACTGACAATTGCTTCTAAATTGGACTTTTAACAAATAGCCCAGTCTACCAAACTGCTAGTGCTGCGCCGAGAATTACAGGTGACGAATTTTCACTTGGAAAAGGAATGTTCTTATCTCATGGTAGCCAAGTTAAAGAAACTAATAGGACGTAAACCCCAGTGAGGAGGTGGCAGGTTTCAGACTACGCAGAAAGCCCGAGGGTGCGCTGACCAGAGCCGTGTGTGGAGCCGCCCTGCCCGCCCCAGGACCCAGCACAGCCCCGTCTCTGGGGAGGATGAGGCCCCCCGCAAGAAGCGATGCTCCGCTGCGCGGGGACGGCCTTTCGCTGCCCACGGGCTCAGCCCTGCGCCCCCAGGTCTCCATTTCGGCGGCAGCGTCAGGCAGAGGATGCTCGCCCACCACGGGTGACCCCTCGGGATGCCCCGAGCAGGGCTCCAGAGCACAGCCGGAGCTGAGAAAGCTGGGCTCCTCCCGGCATTTCAAAACACAATTAAGTCCTTTCAGCTGGTCAGAAGCAGTGATTTAAGAAGAGAAAAGTGTTTTTTCTCTTCCAGGGAGCCCTGTCTCATGTAATTTAAGTTGCCTGAAGAGCTACAATGCCTCATGCAAGTCCTATTAGCTTCACTAAATGCAGCCTATTGATTTTTTGCCAGTTTATTTTGCTCTATGCTTTAAACTGGGAGAACACTGATGTTGTTTAAGAGCTCTGTGTCAACACCCAAGGAGCATTAAATGCAGGAAGAGAAGGAGAGGAAGAGAGAGCCAGTGAACCCAGCAGAGGCCTCTGATGTGAACTATATAAATGTTAAACAAGTCCTTATCAGCAAGCTGAGTGCACTATTCATTTCAATTACCCATTGTAATGCACAGATATTTAATAATCCTTTTGGAGGCTACATTTCTTGCTGCTCTTTGAGGTTTGATAGATGCCACAAATCTACCTTACAGGCACCGGTCCAGATTTTCAAGTGAGGGAGATTATCTAGCCTCTTGAATGAAGTTTGCTCCAGCACATCCACTACTGAACGTTCATCAAGTGGATTATAACAAGCTTAACTGAGAAGAAATGAGTTCACGGATATTTCAGTCAGGAGAAGGAGCCCACAAGGTTAAAGACAGATGAACAGCCTTCCTCATCCCACTACACTAACCAGCTCTGGGGGGTTACGCTTTTGTTTAACTTTTGTTAAACACGCTGGGGAAAAAAAAAAAAAGAGAGATGGACAGGCAAAGCATTTGAAATATAAAACATTATGAAGGACTTTTTTTCTCAGCTAATTTACCATTATTTATAGTGTTTTTATCAGAAGACCCTATGCTGGCACATTTTGGGTGATACTGAAAAAACGAGGGGGAGATGTGATAGCAGCAGTTGGGATGGGCTGGGGCTCCATCTCCTGCTTTCTTATGGAAGGACAGAGACCTGAAACAGATAAACGACAGCTAAACCAGAAAGCACAGCTTCTGCCGCAGTGACTCCTCACGCAGCTGCAGGTGAGCAGTTACCCTTATTCAAGGCGAAGCACAAGGACTTATCAGCCCCTCCAACTTATCAGCCAGCTTAAGGCTCTTGCTAAGCAGTGCTGTGGAGGAGGAGATTTTGGCTGACTAAGCTGCCTCTTACAAAATAAGGCAGTAAAATAGATCTAGGAAACACAAGAAATTAGGCAGAAAAGCAGAATGGCACATAGAGGAGCAGGCAGCAGCACAAACACGAGCCTCAATACCCAAGTGCTTTCCCAGGCTCACCGGACGGACGGAGCTGGCTTGCCGAGAGCTGCGGCCACCCGCCCCGGCACAGGGACCGAGGAAGGGGGGGCCAAGGCAAAGCTGAGGTGCCTTTCCTGGGGAGTCCTTCTAGACTAAGGCCAGCTACGTCTTTTGTGACAACCTACACAGAGACAATTCAGAGGGTGGCCGTAGACAAACGGTGTGTTTCAAGTGGTGTGGAAAGACATAAAATAACCATATTTCTTCTTACCCAACACATTTTCTAGAAGAAGAAAAAAAACATTCACGTGAATAATAAGCTAGAAAACATATTCCTCCTTTCTTAACAGAATGCCTGCTGATAGTGGAAGAATATCTGCTTTTATTTTTAGCCCTAAGACAATTGTCTTGAATATTTCTATGCCTCTCTTTACGTGGGTATGTTAAATTTGTTTAGTAGTTGCACATATCTCAAGAGGAGACATGTTTCCTTGCAACGCTTAATGAAAAAGAGTGTGCAAAAGAGAAAAACATGCCCTCCGAAATGTTCTGTCCTCTCTCATTGTGCAGAAACATTACAGGATAAACAAAATTCTGGTTAGGATACGAATACATTTAAGCAGATATGCTGACAGCCCGTCACACTGGCAGGTTCTGCAGGGCACCGGGGCAGGGTCTCGCTGCACCCCACTGAGATGAATGAACAGTCCAGCCCCACCCAGAGGGAAAGGACTCCCGAGTGGTGCCTTTTTGTGGGCTGTGCTGGAACCTGTGTCTCTTGCTACAGCAACGTGAAGCCAAACAGGCAGTGAAATTAGAGAGATGTTTAAGACAAGGTCAAGTTGGTAATAGTCCCATTGTGTGATCTGTTCTCAAACTGGTGTTATTACTATTTACTGAAAAGATACCAGGTTTCAGCAAACGGAAGATTAATTCTTATTTTGGCGGGGGGGGGGGGGTGGGCTTTCATGAGCAGCAAACCCACAGCGCTTGTTAAAAACAACGAGGAAGGAATCCAGCGAACCCTCACGGCCGATTACGCCCTGCTGATGGAGTCAACCACCATCGAGTACATCACCCAGAGGAACTGCAACCTGACTCAGATCGGGGGGCTCATCGATTCCAAAGGCTACGGGATTGGGACTCCCATGGGTAAGTCCCAGTGGTGGGGGCTCTGTAGGTACCCCGGGGATGGGCGTGTAGTTGCCACTCTCCCTGCCCTGGATTGAGATCATCCGGTGCCAACAGCAGATTTCCAAATACCAAAGCTTCTGCTGTCTGCCTGGTGGAGAGGTCTGAACAGCCCTGCTTAATGCAGACACGGTCCCTTCTCTGGGCGAGTTTTCTCCTCACTTCCCTCTGTGTGTAATGGTGTTCCCCCTCCCCAGGGTCACCCTACAGGGACAAGATCACCATCGCCATCCTCCAGCTCCAGGAGGAGGACAAGCTGCACGTGATGAAGGAGAAGTGGTGGCGGGGCAATGGCTGCCCTGAGGACGAGAACAAGGAGGCCAGCGCTCTGGGCATCCAAAACATCGGTGGGATTTTCATTGTTTTGGCAGCAGGCTTGGTGCTGTCCGTCTTCGTGGCCATGGTGGAGTTCATCTACAAGCTGCGCAAAACGGCGGAGCGTGAGCAGGTACTGATTTCCTCCGTTTCCCTGCACCACCATTAGCCCGGCATTGAGGATTTTGCACGCTGGCCCCAGAGGCAGGCAGGTAGACGGCAGAGGGACCCAGCCCGGCCCCTGCTGCCGGGAGCTCCAAGCGCCCGCAGCCCAGGGGCTGACCCGCAGCACCCCCAAAACGCTCTGTCCCGCTCTGACAGCCTCGGGGCAGGGGCAAACCACGTCCACCCTGATCAGGGTCGTCGGCTGCTGCAGGAACTGGCCTAGTAAACATCTGTAGGGCAATTTTGAGCAAGCCGACACATAAGTCATGACAATATGGACAGAGGTCCCTGGGAAGGACCGTTCTGAGCTGTTACATCCACTGCCACTATCCCGTGCAATCGTGTTGCATGTTCCAGGTGTAATTTGTACACGCATGAAGTCTCCAGCTCTCCTCCCCACTCCCATTCAAAGAGCCTCAAGGAACTGGTCAGGGCCCGCCAGGAAACCTCAAACTATCTTATCAACACCACTGACACAAACAGCCCGTCCCACCCGCAGTGGCTGAGTAGTGCTCATGAAACAAGAGGACTGCTTTTACGTTTTTCCCCTCTTCCTTGCGTGTCACGGTGCAGTAAGTGGAAAGTGCATTTGCATGCACGACCAGAAATCAAAGCAAGCTGCCCACGTGACGGACTAGATAGCTGAAGGAAAACTGCCCACTAGCAAGCCCAGCAGGACTCGATAGCCCTCTGACTCCCAGCACATAAACCTACCAGACCCCCAGCAGGGATCGCACAAAGCACCGGCACTCCAACAGCCGCCTGTGGCTCTGCCTCTCTGCAGGACTGAGTGTGTCAAAGGTGCGGTTCTTGCCACAGGAACGAGGGGTCAATCAGATGCCCGCGCATCACTGAAGCCCCACTAAGCACAGCTGATGCCTTAAATGCAACCTAAACCCGGTGCTTGCCCTCTGCAGAGCCTAGTTTCAGCACCCTCCTGTTCACGGAGAGGTTAGCAGAATGTTTTGCCAGGAGTAACGGTGCTTTTTGTCCCTGCTCTCCCCAGCGCTCCTTCTGCAGCGCCATGGCCGATGAGATCCGGCTGTCGCTCACCTGCCAGCGCCGGGTCAAACACAAGCCCCAGCCTCCCGTCATGGTGAAGACAGACGCCGTGATCAACATGCACACGTTCAACGACCGACGCCTGCCGGGGAAGGACAACATGACCTGCAACACTGGCTTGACACCTGTGTTTCCCTAGGGAATGGGAACGGGGGGCGGGAGGGACAGAACTGCGGCAGACAGGGCTGGATGCACTCTTAACTAGGAAAGAAAGGATTAAAAAAACAAACAAAAAAAAAAAAAAAAGGAAAAAAAAAGCCTGGTTTGGTTCATTTCAAGAGCAAGGCCTTTGCGACACAACTGCATCGATCACTGGCACAGAAGAACTTCAAAGCACGGACTGTAACATCGGTCTTGGGGCTTTTCTGTTTTGTTTTTGTTATTTTTTGTTCCTTTTTTTTTAATGCTTAGATCCTACAGGCCCCATGGAGTCCAAACACGCTACCATCCAGGAGTCTGATGTTTACATACTGGAAACACACGGAGGCGAAAGAGAATTGAGCCAAACTGACCCTCGGCGGGTAAGGAGGAGCCCCCGAGCAAGGCTTCTTTAGCATGGCAATAAAAAAAACCACTCTGTCAGGTGCAGCATGAGCAGCCGTCTGTGCGCGCATCTATTCCACACTGACACACACAGCACACGGAGGACACGTTGTCCAGGAAAGGGAAAGGTATCTGTGAAGCACCGTGACGGTCAAGGCCGTGCCGTCTCTCGAAGCAGCTCGCGGTGGCCCTTTACCTCACGGCCGTGCCGGCCGTGGCCACCCGCAGCCGGAGCTCCCCGGGCGGGCTCTGGGAGAAGGCGACACACGTCCATCGGTAGATCCAAGCCAGCTGCCCGCAAAGGGGCGAGTGAGCCCGAAGGGAGCCGAGCTCCTGGCCAGGGACGGGACAGCGTGGTGTGCACGGGAGCTGCTGCCATCTCCGAGTGACAGCACCCACACACCCTGTGCCATGCGCCAGCCCACGCCCAGGGTGACACCGCGATCTCCGGGTATTCACCGCCTTCACCCTCTCCGCAAAGCTCAGTCCCTCCTGCAAAGAAGTGCGGAAAGCGGCCGAGCCCACGGGCAAGGGCAGCGGCCGGAGCAGAGCTGTCCCCAGGAGCTCAGTGGTACCAATTTCCATGAAATCCAGCAGCGCCGAACTGCAGCTCTGCTGCGTCTGCACTCGGAGCAGGAGGGGACTCGACGCCTGGTTTAGGACTAAACGCTCTCCACTGCATCAGAGACCTGAAAGACGAAGTCTCAGCCTGCAGGGCCAGGGCTGGCCTGGGATAAGCAGCACTGTGTGGGCCAAACCTGACACCCTTCTTGCTCTGCCAGGGGAACCGCAGCCCCTCAGGCAGCATCTCCACGTGATTTAAGCAAACACACACTGACATGTTTTTAAGAAATCTTCCATGAACTGTGTTCTTCTTTTCAGGTTGCTTAACCCAGAAGGCTGGTCCTGCAGATGAATTTAGTCAGAATTACCAAAGACCCCTCTGCTGACCGAAAGCAACGCTCGAGTAACGTCCCTGAGCTCCATCCCTCCCTCCATGGGAACCGCCCGGGTGGCCAGTGGGACACTCTGCGGCTTAATTTGCAAAACGAAAGGAACAGAAATGGCTCTGCCCATTGTCACCCAGAACATCAGAGTACCGCAAAGGCGCTTACAAGCTCTGATTTAAACACTGACGTTGAGGAAAAGCGCAGCCTCCCGCCCTCGCAGACGTACGGGGGACAGTGACCTGCCGCAGACCGCGCCGCTGCTGGCACCCCTCCGGCACCCCCCCGGTTTGGGGGGCAGGCAGGGCAGCGGCGAGGGAGCAGCCGGGGCCTGAGCTCTGCAGCCCGAAGCTTCGCCCTCTGTGCCCTGAGCATAGCGAGGTGCCACGGCCACCGCAGGAACCAGCAGCTGAACTGACCCAGTTTGCCCTCCCCTACCTGCAAGGCCTTTCTGGAAAGTTTATCCTCGCCCAAAGGAACAAACCTGTTTGTAACTGATTTCAGATTATTTTTCCCCACCTGTTTCTTTCTGAGGCTCAGTCAGGAAGGTTATCTTTGGAGCTGATCACAATTAGCAAATTAGCTCAAGGGGAGATAGCTGTTCCCCTCCCGCCCCATCACAGAACATAATTTGTCCTTATTTTGGTTTTTTCCGTGATGTAAAGAAGCAACATAGTGACCTGACACACAAAAAAAAAGTAATTTGTCACATTTTGACTCAAAGATATGCAAAGAATTTAGATTAATTTCCACCTTTTCATAGAAAACATTAAAAATTAGGGGTAAAAGTTGCCAACTTAATGGGCACCATATTCTTACTAGTTTGCTGACCAAATACCTAGAGCAGAGGACAGACTGGAAGTATGGGTCTGCTTCCCAAAGCTAATGACATTCTGTATTCCTTTCAAATCCTTAGGCTCGCCAGAGTAAAAGATTTTGTTTTCTTTGCAGATTTCTAAACTCTTAGAGATTCTTGCAATTAAAGCAGATAAAAACAAAGCCTGAAACTGGCTTTAAATGTCCAGAGAGTAAAATACCACAGAAAATAGCATCCGTTTTGCTTGTTGGCAGATTTATTTTTTTTTTAAATAAACCCTGTTTATTCATCTTTGACAGCAAGTTTGAATTGATTTTACTCACCAATATCGCAGAGTAACAGGTGAGCATCTGGAATTACTGGTGCTATCTGCCAACAAGCCCAAACCCTGGAGATTAACCCCTCCCGTTCCCTCTCTGCACTGACCATACATCAGCCATGAAATGGCGGCTAACTTCATGCATCTACGTTACGGTTTTGTTTAAATCTTGACCATTACAACGTTTGACATTTAACACCAAGGCAATGTTCTGCACTGCTCAAAGCGAGGACAGAGCAGGGGGAGCTGCCGGGAGCGCAGGGCGAGCTGCGGGCCCCAGGCCCAGGGTTAGTCCAGCCTGTCGCCACAGCGCGCGGCAGAGACCAGAGTCTCTCCTGCTGCTCCCGTTTACCCCGTGAGCTCCTTGCCTTCGCCCCGGGGAGTGCGGGAGCCCCTAAGCCTTGAGGTGTTTTATCCCAGAGGAGCAGCGACGAGCCTGAGGCTGAGCAGCGATGTGCTGGGCGACTTCAGAGGGGACAGACCTGGTGACAAAGCCTCAGAGCCTTCGGCGACCTGTTTGTGACTGCTGACAACTCATGTCTTAGAAATCATCTGACTTCCAGCTTTGTTTAAATCAGTTCCTTTCCTCACTTGGTGGGCAGAGGGGCCGAAAAAGTGAGGAGGAAATACAGAAAAAACAGGTTTGGGATATTAAACTGTATCTAAACTGTCGTCACCTCAGTTCACTGTCCCTTTGTCACTCGCTTTTCCTTCCAGCTCTCCTGTGAGACAGAGCAGGGGCACAGCGGGCAGCTCTGTTCGGGGTTGCTTTTCTGTTTGGAGTTAACCAACGGTGCGTGTTGGGTCCGATGTCGAGAGGACAGATCCACAAAGAGACGGAATATGCAAAGGGGAACCAACTCCCACGCTGGGCAGCCCCTGCTTCCCCCCGGCGGGAGCAGGATTCTGGGAAGGTCACCGCAACGGGACCCCGCAGAGCCAGAGAGCTCTCGCCCAGCGCTCGCTAACCACGGGGAGACCCCAAGCCCCAACACCCGGGCAGCGCTCCCGGGCAGCGGCGCCGCGAGCCCTCTGCTGACTGTACCTTACTTTGACATGTTTCTCAAAAAAAGACAAAAAAAGAAGAAAAAAAAAAACAGAAAGAAGTGGAAAAAAAGGAAAAAAATGGTCTCCGTGACATTCAGGGGATTTTCCTTTGTGGACATGCAGAATTTCTATGAATATAGTTTTTTGTAAACATTTTGTAACAATTTTGGTTTCATAGTAACTGTGTTACTTGCTGATCATTCTAGGCTGATGTAAATAAAATTTAAAAAAAAAAAGAAAAAATTCTGATTATTTTCCTTTTTAAGACACTGTGATATATCAAAGTGCACAGTTTGCTGTATGAAGTAATATGGTTTTAAATTTTAAATAAAAAATAATTTCTAGAAAACAATGAAGTTTATGCCTGTTTATACTGAACAACTCCCTTCTTCCTTGTTGAAATTTTATACCCAAACCCAAGCTGTTTAATGACATCCCCTGCCTCTCCCGATAATCAGCCATAAAAAGACAGTGATAAAAAAAAAACAATTCACAACTAAACCCAAACATCGGAGAAGAGCTGCGGGTGCTGCTCGCCAGAGGGGATTTGTGCACGTTTAGGAGTTGGTGATGATGGACTTGACCGCGCCCCACGGAGAGGAAGGAAAGATCCCCATTCGCTTCACCTTCGGGCAGAGGGGGGTCAGACAGATGACTCTCCCTGTCCTCCTACACCTACAGAAAGTTTGGGATCAGACAATTCAGTGCCGGGCCTCCACGAGGAGCCACCTGCAGCAGCGCTGCCCCAGCGTGGGTCGCCCGGAGGCTGCGTGAGCTTTTCCTTACGGAAAGGTGCCTGAGCCCGAGCCCCTCCGACGAGCCCACAGGTCCCCAGCGGGCTTCAAAGTTCATAAAAGCTCTGTTTACCTGCTTTCCCTTTCGATGTAAGGCAAAAAATCTTATTAGCCTGATAAAAGCTGAGAGCACCCTAAAGGCCAATGTTTATTAGTCTGAAATCTTTATGACTCTGCTTTATTATATTGAGGCAGGGAGAAAATGTCTGAGGTTTTGGGGATGGGAACAATGAGAGCGATCGGTGCTGTGCCATTCCAGGCCACCACAGAGCAGACTGGGGAAGCGGCGGCACGGCCCTGGGGACAGTGGGCGCCTCGCTCCCCAGAGCCCCCTCTTCTTCCCTGCGAGAGACGGGCACTGCCCTGGAAATGCGTTGGGGCGGGAGGGTGGCATTTCAGGCACTGTGCTGGTGCATTTATTAAATAATCCCCAGATTTCCTGTACACTGAGATTTAAAAGTCAATTCCTTCCCATTTGAATTAATTTTAAGGGTCACCCTCATAAATCTTTCTCATCTCTATCCACTCAGGCCCCCTGGAAAACCGCAGCTTTGACTGCCAAGGAGGGACTTTCAGAGCAGAGCTGAGTCTCACTTTTATATTCTGAACCCTGATCAATATGCAGAGAACATGTCAAAAAGAAGAAGGGGGGGAAAAAAAAAAAAAAGGTAAAAGCAACCGATGCCTTTACAAAGCTTCTTCTACACCGCTTATGTGAGACCTGCTTCTGGGGATGAAATCCCTTCCCATGTGCCAGGGGTTGCAGCAAGGGAAGGGCTGCTCCCGTCTGCCGAGGGGGCAGGACAGGGCGGCGTGGGCTGACCCTGCGCGGCAAACCTCCGCCTGCGCTAGGGATAGGAGGAATTGTCAACATAAATCGTTATCACCAATAACACGAGGCAGCAATTAACCTTGTCAGTCAACAGATCATCCTTTACTGACGGTGAACCCACCACCACAAAGCTGCCAATCATGCTACAAATAAATAATTAATCAGACAACAGATTTCACTCATAACAACGGAGATCGGTTCCCTTTGAGCACCGATTAGTCTCTCTGGGCAAAACAGGGAGGAAAACTGGGAAGTGGTGAGAGGAGCATCTCTGCCCAGTCTCCCACCTCCCTGTCCCATCCAGGCATCTTTAGGTGTTGTAGAGCTTCAGCTCAACAGACAGAACTATTTTTAGCCTGTACTTCTTTCAGCAAAATCCCATTTTAAAGCGATAATCGTACATCTGCAAGCAGATGTCCGAGCTGTGGCGCACCAACCAACCAACCACCACTCCTCCACCCGGTACCTACGCACACCAACGCTTTCCTCCTCCCTCAAAACAAACCAAAACGTTGTCACTCAGGAAGGACTCAGCAAATTTGGACCTAAATGTTTTCATCAGCAAAATACACTTGATTTCTTTAATGAAAATTTGGGGATGGAACAGAGAGAATGAGGACAGCAGGAAATACAGCGTCGCCTCTAATGCGCTCTGTGGTGGGTTTAACTGAGCGAGAGACGGTCGTTACATGTCAGAAGACTTGGGTATGCGCCGTTAATGTGCAGGCCCATAACCACCATGGAAACAGGGAGCTGTAACTACACATAATAAAATAACTTTCCACTTGAAAAAGCCCTTGCCTTTCAGCCATCAAGAGCCTTTCAGGATCTTGATGTGATTTTCAGAAGTGGTGTTGCCGTCACCCCGAGCAAGCACGGCTCATGTCACCTCCATCTCCTGCTCCCCAGATGAGAAACTGAAGCGACTTGCACCCCGGACACCGGAAAACTGAAAGA